CCACTCCAGGTTGGTCTGCTTGTCCTTTCAAGTGGGAATTTCCCATCTCTGGAGATCTGGATGTGGTTCAGGCTTCCACCTATAGTCTTATGTATTACAGAGGCTCCGCAGGAAGCCTCCTTCAAGGTCAGCCTGAGACATTTTGTAAACCAAGGGAGCAGTTCCTTAACCCCAGACACTAAAAGCTGTTCTGTTACTTAAATTTTTCTAGAGAGCTACACCAGCTCACCTGCCAGAAGACAGGAAGTGCACACTCTCTCGATTAGGACCCCATCCTTCCTCCAAATTGTCCCTAACTCTGGAGTTTTCACGGTCCACTAGGGGACTGTTTAACCTCACCCCCAACATCTCTTCTGAGCGCCTGCGGCAGTTTCTCACCACCACAAGGGGGCGCTTGGACAAACTGCTGCCGCCAGACAGTCCAGGTGTCTGAGCACCGGGTCCCCTCTGTCCAGGCCGTGGGGGTCACCGAGGGTGGAAACTATTCTTTTTTATGCTGGGCCCAGCTTTGAAAGCTGCGCCCCCTCCAGCATCATACAGCCCCTACACACACCCCTATGAGCCATTTCCCTGGGAATGAGCAACTTTACCTGGTTGTATCTGGAGTGGGGGGAGGTGCGGGGGTGGAATACACAGGTTTCCCGACCCCAAAACATACCGGAGACGCACTCACGTGTGGCCTCCTTCCAGACACCCAGCAGCACCTGAACTCTCTGGGAGCCCCACCCTGGGCCTCATCTGGACTGGAGGTGGACCCCACCCACCGCCTCTCACCCCACCGTCTTCATCTGGGTGCCCCTGGGGCTAGAATTTGGGAAATGGAAAGCCCAGAAGTGATCTTGTCACTCATTACCGGGTGGACAGTAGCAGGAAGTCCGGTTTTTTATTTCAAAAATACTCTTGCGCCACCCAGGCACCACGCTTTCCCTTGCGGACGGCCTCCGCACAGGATTCTCACACACTGTATCGACAGCGTCTTCGGATAGAAAGATCACCGCCCCAGGAGCTCAGCGTGGGCAGGCCGGGTCAGGAGGCGTCCGAGGGGCAACATAGGGGGATGGGACCGGTTTAAAGAGTCCGGGGTTCCGGGGAGAGATCTGGAAACAGTCGCGAGGTACAGGGAATTTGGGGCATGGGATGGGGATCCCCAGAAACTCTTAAGGAAGAGAAGAAGGGGTCAAGGACCATGGGAGGCGCAGCCGGGTTCCACAGAGGTACCAAGGGGGCGGAGTCAGTCAGTGGGATTTTTGCGTAGCTGCCTGAGTAGCGAACCTAACGGAATCTGGACCTAAATTGGGTTGCCCGGACAACGCGTTCTAGGCGGAGCTGCCTCGGGGGCGGAGCCTCAGGAAGGAGGAGCTGGGGCAGAGGCCGGGATCTGAGACGAGACGAGGCTATGTGATTGGCAGAGACTTCATGCTCTGGGCGCGGTCGAGGCTGGGGCGGGGACCGAGGAAGGCGGAGCTTTAGGGGGCGGGGCGGGGGGGGGGCGGGCCCAACGCCCTGGAACCGGAGGCGGAGACGTGGTTGGCGGGGCCGGGCCGGCGAGGGCGGAGCGAGCGGCGGGGGCGGTGCTGGGTCGCGCTGGGCCCCCGGCCGAGGCGGCGCGAGGCGCTGACAGCTGAGGCGGCTCGCGGCCTCTCGCGCCCCCCGGCCCGGCCGGCCCGGAGCCATGAGCCCCGGGCTGCTGCTCCTCGCCAGCGCCGTCCTGCTCGCCTTCGGCCTGTGCTGCACCTTCGTGCACCGCGCTCGCAGCCGCTATGAGCACATCCCCGGGCCGCCGCGGCCCAGGTGAGCGGGGGTGGGGCGGGGGGCACCAGGGGGGACCCGGGAACGGCCGGGGACGGTTCATGCCGTGGGGCCGGGTCAGCGCGCTCGGCAGCGGGAGACGTCGCCCGCAGAGGGGCGCTCTCTATTCTTAGTAACACGTTGCTGACAGCGCTGCTGCTCTGCGCCCCCCGCACCCGACTGGGCCCGACAGGACAGCGGCGGCAGGTCAGGTAGGCACTGTTGTCACCCCATCGTGCAGATGCGGAGACTGAGGCACACAGAGGCGAAGGCAGCCACCCAAGGTCACACAGTCGGTAAGCCTCGATTTAAACCCAGGTCGGCCTGGCTCCGCAAGCGGGCGCCCTTGACTTTGGGACTTGCCTAGGACAGTGAATGCCCTCCACCAGGATGGAAACGCGGTGTTTTACCTCTGTCCTGTATTGTGTACGTCTCTGTCCTGGTACATCCTCTTAGTATTTAGATCCCATTCTTGCCCTTCCCCCATCTTGCCTACCCCAGCCTGCTGAAATCCCCCTCTGTCACTTTGTGCAATGAAATTCTCTTCCAAATGGTACCAAGGGTCCTGTTAAGCCCCTGGGGCTCACTCTGCACTTTCTCTTCTCCTTATGGTACCCACTGCTGCCTCCACTCTTCCTGTGCCTTCCCCGCCCCAGCTGATCACCCCAGGTTCAAGGTCTCTTACCTCTCCAGGATGGGTTTCATGGACTTGCTCTTCTCCCATCTCAAATAGGCATCCTCCCCACTCCCCCCCCCCCATTGTGCAATAACATTCCCAGTCCCCTGATGGCACCCTGATGTTGGACCTTTGTCACCTGTAGAATGTGAGCCCCGGGAGGGCAGAGACACTGTGTTTGCTGTGTATCCCCAGTGCCTGGCATGTTGCAGATGCTCAATAAATAGTCACTGAATGGATGAATAAACAATGGTATTAGACACACTTTGTAAATCCTCAAGAAATGAGATTTCTGGAAAGCTACCCACCTCCAGCTAACCAGAAACGCTGGCCTTAGAAGCCTAAATTCCTTCTGGGTGGATTCAGGAGAGAGTTCTGTGACTGGTGGCCTGGAGGGGCAGCTGTTCTCCCCCCTTACTGATTCCCATACTCCCTGTGTCCCCCTCTCACCTGGAGGTCTTCATGACTGTTTCCCTCACCTCGGGAGCTCTAGCTGCTTCTTAAGGTCCTTCCTGTCCCCACTCCCTGGTATATATATGATGTCCATTTTACTAGCACTGGACTGCTAACCTCAAGGTTGGTGGTTCAAACCCACCAGTCACTCCTAGGGCCCCTATACAAGGTCGTTATGAGCCTGAACTGACTCGATAGCACTTAACAACAAGAAGTCATTGTGCAGGAGCCCTGACAATGCAGCCATGAAGCACTCTACTGCTAACCAAATGGTCAGTGGTTCGAACCCAGCAGCCGCTCCACAGAAGGAAGAAGTGGTAATCTGCTTCTGTAAAGATGACAGGCATGGAAATGCAACGGGGCAGTTTTCCTCTGTCCCTTAGAGTCTTTAGGAGTCCGAATCGGCTGGATGGCAAAGGGTTAGGTCACAGTATAGTGGCAGGTGGGTAATTATTCATACGACCTCTTATTAAGTGCCTGTCTCTCCCAGGGGGCTGTGTCCAGCCACCTAGCACTCTGGCTGGCACATACCTATCACCAGCAATAGTTGTCACTGAGTAGATTCCCCCTCATGGTTGAATGGGGGTGTTCTACAAGTTCTATCGGATACATGACTGCCCTTTCAACTTCCTAAAGAGCCCTCAGCTTGGAATTAAGTGACCTTTGTTCATGTTCTAATAAGGCCCGTTGTTTCTTGGACTCCTACTGAACTCACGTACTTGCGTGCACTAGATTGGCTTAAGTCTCGGAATCTTGAAGGACAGAGTCTCTCTTCCCATGTCTTTTTTTTTTTTTTGTAATTCAGATATAGCTCACAAACCATAAAACGTACCCTTTTCAAAAAGCGAATCATCCTGTGTTTTTTAGCATAGTCAGAGTGGTACATTCATCACCACAAACTCCAGGACATTTTCATCACCCCAAGAAGAAACCCTGTACCCGTTACGATCACTTCCTCTTCTCCCTAACCCCCAGCTCCTGGCAACCACTAAGCTACATTCTGTCTCTGTACATTTGTCTGTCCTGGACATTTCATATAAATGGACTCATACAATTTGTTGTTTGTGTGTGGCTTCTTACACTTAGCATAACATGTTCAAGGTTCATCCATGTTATATGGAACGTGTGTTGATGCTTCCTTTTTATGGCTGAGTTCTGCCAAAACTTTACTGAGTCAACATGTGACCTACAGGTGTAGGAGGGTGTGTGGGGGGGATGAAAGATGGAATATAATTGACTGAGGCTCTTTCAGGAAGTGAATGGAACCATGGATATGTAAATAGATTTTGGATTAAAAATTGGCTGGTGGTCAAATATCCAACTGCATGAAATGAAAATTCTGGAAGCTCTTTCCAGCACAAAATGCGTTGGTTTTAAAAGCCTGAATCACCAAAACATGATTGGCAAGAACAGGGTTGGCAACAGATCTGTGTATTATCTGTTTTATTTGGGGACTTTGTCAACTTTCAGCTCCCTCTGCAGCAAGAGGTGTGCCTCTCTCCCACACCCTTCAACCTCCCTAGTCTATAGGAGGCCCTCTCCTCCAGGAAGCCTTCCCTGAGTGCTCCTCCTCCACACTCCCACAGAACATGGGCTGCAGTCAGCCTTGTTATGACATGCTACCGCATGGATCCATATAACAGAGCTGAAAACTGAAACCCCACACTCAGAAAACCCCACACCTCTTTATAAGCACTCAGACCTTCCTCATCACCACCCTCCTCTCTTGATGGCCAGTAGAGGGTGTAAATTTGACTATGAAAGGTGATCTCCCTCCCAGTTTGTATTTCTTTTGGAATCAGTCATCTGGGTTTGGCTCCTGAAGTGATGCCCGCTGTCCCTTCCCACCTTACTGGCCTTGATGCCCTGGAGCCAGGGTTGTTGGAAGGAGCCATGGGGAACCCCCTTGCTGGTTGTTAGGTGGCACATTTAATAGATGTTAGTTAGATGCTTAAGTGATCACTTACCGTTCCCAGCCTAAAGCTGTCTCCTCATTCTGACCCCTAGTGGGTGACCAACCTCTCAGCCTGGGCTCCCTTCATCTCTCTGGGGGGCCACCTCATGACAGCTCTTCAGAGGATCTCAGTGCAATGACTGCCCACAGGAGACCCTGGATCCCCATTGTATCAGTCTGCACCCCAAGAAACCGAACCTCTCTCTCTCCCGGCTCTTCTGCCATATCCAGTCTCCCTCTGGGGCATGCCAGGTGGGCTTCTCCTTGCGCAGGATGTCAGAACCCCCAGTTTTCTATAACCACTAGCCCCACCTGCTTATATCTACCCCCTGCCCAATCCCCGCCCCCAGCCCTCTAGAGCTCTAACTCTCCATCTCCACTCTCTGTGCTTTCCTCCGCAGCGCCCCCAGCAGGATCTAGAAGGAACCAATTTTAGCTTCCGTCCTTGTCATCCCACGTGACCGTGGACCTCAGGGGTTAGGGTGGAAACTCTGGGGTCCCACAGGTCTCTGTGACTGAGGCTCTACTCAGGTTAGCTCAACACCGAAAACCTGCCTCTGAAACGGTCACTAGATCGTTCTGGAAAGACAGCCAGCGGTGTGTGATGTCCACGGGCTGGCTCTCTGCAGGTGGTTCCGTGTGTCTTCAAGGTCCCTCACCTCCGTCTCTTAGCTCGCCCACGCTCCCCTCCCTGCGGCGGCTTTCTTCCCTTCACTCCTATCTCCCCCACCCCTCACCCCCAGCTCCGCTTTTATTCTTCCTCCTACTTCCCGGGAGCTCGGGGAACAGTCAGAACCTCTGTCACCGGTTCCTTGTCCCGGGCCCACGCGGCACTGTAGGATGGACCCAAGCCCCAAGGCCTCCCAGTCCTTTCCTGTCAACAAGCCGCCCAGCAATCCTAGCTGCCTGTCCTGTGTTTCTCTTCTGGATGGCTCCTGTTTTATGTAATATACTGTATGGATTCACAGCTATAAAAGCGTTCCACTTCCCCCCTCCCCTGCAGCTGTCTTCCCTATCTGTGTACCCGCTTTACAGCACAGCCGTGGAGCCCTTTTCTCATCTGGGCCCCCAGCTCGTCCCCTAGCTTCTCTTGAGCCCACCAACAGCCACCCTTCTATTGACCCTGCTTCAGTGGCGGTCACAGTGACCACCATGACTTGCTGGCCCCTCCTCCCGGCCCTGCCCAGACCCCACACTCCCCTGGCTCGTTCCTCCTCTCCCCCTCTGCCTTCAACTGCCTAGACTCCGGTCCGAGGACCCAGAGATTATTTTCTCGATCTATACCGTCCCCTCGAGATCTCAGACCCCCAAATTGCATCTCTAGCCTCTCCTGAACTCCAGACTTCAGTAATTAAGTCCTTAGATATAGACTTGTTAGTTCCGACTTATAGCAACCCTGTACAGGGTTTCTGAGGAGCAGCTGGTGGGTTTGAACTTCCGACCTTGTGGTTCAAAGTCCAGTGCAGATCCTACAGCACCACACCAGGAGTCTCAGATGTAAAATAACCAAACCAAATCCAGTTCACTGACACGGAGTTGATTCTGACTCATAGTGATCCTATATAGGGTTTTCCAAGACTTCAGTCTTTACAGGGACAGACTGCCTCATCTTTCTCCTGCAGAGAAGCTGGTAGGTTTGAACCTCTGACCTTGTGGTTAAGCAGCCCAGTGCTTAGCCCACAGCACTACCAGGGTACCTTCAGATGTAGAAAAGTGATGCATATTCAGCAGGTTCAAATCCAAGTTCCTCATTTAACCCCTGGTTTAATGACTGGTTCCCCAGAAGTGGACCTGGAAAATGGAGTTAGAAGTTAATTGAGCAGTGATTGCAAGTGTGTGTGTGTGTGTGTGTGTGTGTGTTTGTGTGTGCTTCATTTCCTAGGACTTTTGGCCTTTCCTGTGGGTAGATCTGTAGGTACT